TTTTCGGGAGATACACATATTTACTTGTGACATTTCTTTGAAAAGATACATCTGCAATGTATTCTTTTTAAATGCCTTCTCTGTCCTTTACCCAAATAATGTCTAGGTAGCTGAAGTTCTCTGTGATTTCAAGAGATCAGTTCAGTTTGTGAAACCTCTCCAGATCCTCAGCTTGCTTGACTGAGTTTAGTTCTATTTGTTGCTGACTTAGAAGTGTTTATGTATTAGGATCTCTGGTAAGATTCTTCCTTCATGCCTTTCATTAGAAATAAGTAGTGGATTTTGAGGGCATTCATTCTATGGGACCCAGATATTTTCAGGGATTACTTTTCCCACCAATGTGTGTTTCTTTCTACTGGAAGAAGTTACAAAATACACTGTGTCCTATGGTTACTCTGGTTACTGCCTCAAAAACGGTTCACAGACGAGTCAAAGCCTAAGAATACCTTTTTTAACAGAGAAAATCCCCAATCTTTATTGCGTGTACAAGTCTGTATTTCCTGTGTGCTCTGCTCAGTTTCTAGCACCGAGCCAGTAAGCAGATGGCTCAAAGTTGTGTAATCAATCCTTAGTCACAATCTTAAGGATCTGTATTAAGACTCACCAGGAGGTATAGATTAGGTGTGGTATGTCAGTATCAAGTCGACACAGTAAAGATATTTGTGGAGGGATATCTGAGAGAGCAGAGTGTATTGAGAGCACTGGGCTTCCACAACAGCCTTGCCTGTAGCAATAGTAAGGGGGGAGGGGAATAAATTAATTTTCTCCCACACCTTTACTACCTGCAGTCACCCACCTCAAATTAGCTTCTTCTCATCGCTGGGAGCCTACCAAAGCAGGGTTATTAAAAATAACAAGCACTGCTCTGAGCTGACCTGGAAAGCAAATACCAGCCATCAGCTGAATAACTTCAGGGAGTGGTGACAAGAACACATAGAGACTCCTGCTCAGAACTAGTGCTGCTGCGTAGCGTGTGCTTTCCGCCCACCTGTGCCACATGCAAGGCAGTGAAGAGGACTAAATGACTCGAGATTCAAACTGATTAAATAAACGTGGTCCTTCAGTCTGATTTAGCTGTTAATTTGCCTGCAGTGCTAGAGGGGAAAAAGTTTAAATTGACTCAAGTGGGACAGAAAGAGGAGTTTTTTGGCTACTTACTCTTCCACAGATCATCTCTTTTTTTAATATTTTTTTATTTTTTAAGGCACATCTAAAAAAGTGGAAGAGAACAATTTTGATATATTACAAAGGAACACCTTAGCATCAATATTAGTTTTTAATTTAAGTGAAAGTGAAAGAAATGCTTGGTGAAAGGTTATTTCATAACAAAATTGCTAGATTTGAAAGCTGTTTGATAAAGCACTTATTCACACTAGACATGAATTTGGAGTGTAGTAGCACAGAGATTATTTTCTACATTTTAATGCCAGAAAATTTGTATTTCTAATACTAAGGAAAATGCCTAGTTTTGACTAATATTTTTTTTTCTTCTCCTCTGATGCTTCTGTGTAAACTATATTACCTTAATAAATGGAAGAGGTGTTCACTATTGATAGTAATTATATATCTGTACTGAATCAGTTTCAATCCTTAGAGTGAAGTAGTGAATGTGAATTTAATTTTCTAAGTCTATTTATGTGAATATTGATTCATTTAATTCACACTGCTTGATAAATATCTTTGGCAGATTATGCCAAGTAAGATGGCATTTCCTTTTTCAGCATTCAATTTATTTTAGGAATGACACTAGCTTTGGTTTTTAATAGCCATTTTAATATTTTTTCGTGGTACAGTCCTGCATTAATGCATTTAGCCTGTAACAGCATTTCTTAGTTTTCTAGTTTGTCTTTAGATGTGCAGATAGAACGTGTTCCTTCAAGCAATCAGTGTGAAAGCTGGAAAGTCTGCTGAGATGGTAGTGATGAATTAGAGTATGGTAGGGCAATTATTTCTTGTTTCTGTTCTCCTGTAAAGTTTGTTCCAGAAAGTTTAGAGACTGGCTGAAATTGTCTAAAATATTGGTGACTATCTTTAAGATCACATGAAGGATGTGGGTGAAGAACTAAAAGTCTGGAGGAGGAGCTGTGTAATGGATCTTTTTAGAAAGTGGGAGAACAGAAAAAATTAGGAGGGAATTTTATGACAGTTTTACAAGTTAAACTTTAAAAAAAAATAAGCAACAATTAGTCAGAGTAAACTATTTATAAACGGGGGAAAAGGTATTAAAAATGAGCATGGAGTTTTTTATTTTGTTTGAATTGATGGCTGTGAGAGAATAAATAGGGAAGAAGTACTTTGACACTGTCTTCCATGACAAATTTATCACTATGTAAATGAAAAAGTGAGAGGAAAATACAGGAAACTGTTTCCAGAGAATGATTGCTAATGACTCATTACCAGAAAGGAAGGATTATTTTTATTGTCATTCTGCCACTATCTGTTACGGGACATCTCATAATTTTTGTTAGTGATCTGAATGATGGATTGGAGAAGATGTTTATGAATTAGGAAAAGTGCCACACATTAGAAAGAGGCGTTTATTTAAGAGATTTACAAATGATCTTGACAAGATGGAGAATGTATATGGAGAAAATGATATTCCATTCAATAAAGACAAGATCTAAAGTAATCAAATACACATGTGGATTGCGTAAGTTGTTTTTCTGCTGAAAAATGGCTGGGAGGTGATAGTGGCTCAAAAGCTGACTTGAGAGTTGCAAAGTCATAAACTTTCTGTGTGTTTTGTGTTTGTTTGTTGTTTTGTTGGTTGGTTGTTTTTTTAAAGTGTCATACTAGGATGCAAGACAGAAATTTGAAAAGATCTTCCCAGTCACCAGCAGTAAGGCTTCATCTAGAGAACTGTATCCAAATTGGGAACTGCACATCAAAGATAGGGAACAATGAAGAGATGCCAGAAAGAGAGACCAGAAGGTAATCCAAGGTCAGAGAGCACAGCACAAGTTAGGTAATGCAGCAAGTCTCTCTGTCACTGGAGGCTATCAAAACTAAGGTAGTCTAATGTCTGGGATAGACAACACAGTAATGTCAAGGTGATCTCTGGTAGGGAATATAGCACGTGGCTGCTAGTCAGGTACTTGGATTATAAAACATTTACAGACCTTTTTTCTTCAGGTTGTAATCCAGAACAGTTGGACTGTGGTGATGGGAAGTGTAAGCATCAGTATAAGACTTGTAAAGATGATGACAGCTGTGAGGACAGTGATGAAAACAACTGCTGTAAGTACATATCTTTAGCTATTTTCCAAAAGGTGGTGGAAGGAGAGAAGCAAAAATACGCTTATTTTATTGGATAAATGTAGTATTTTTATATATTTTTTCATAGCAGAAAGTGCATGTTTCATAATGTGCAGAGTATAATTAGTTCTTGGGAGAGTCTAAAGAAGAAATTAATGAAGTAAAATCCAAGATAACAGTGATATAAGTTAGATGACCTAACTGCAGCTTGCTGTGATCCTGTTAGAAAAGCATGTTTTCCCCTACTGCTGCCAGATCAGTACCAAATAATGTAAGGGAGAGAAACATAATAGCTCTGGGACTTTTGCCCTCTGACACATGCATGGTCTCTTTACTGTAGATCCACCATGGTTACAGACATTGCTGGTACTACTATTGTCACTCTAGAGACTCGTTGCATTTTGTCTTTATAATTTTTGCCTTGCTTTGAATCTTAGGTCCTTAGGGTAGCCAGGAGTATGTCCTTGTTTGTTTAAAAAAAAAAAAAAATCCCTCCCACTGGTTAGAGGTCACTGTAAAAAACTGATAATAAAAATTATAGTAATGGAAGCATATTACTGACATCTGTCAGGATTCCCACATAATAAACTGTGATAGTCCTTAGTCAAAAATTTATTGGAGGTAGGTATAAAGCTCTTCCACAATTTTCTCAACTTCCACTTAAAAACAAAAAGGTTGACTTCTAGGTGATATCTGCTGTGAAGATTTATAATTTGTAATGTCAGTAGAGCTGGTGAAGGTAAAACAAGAGATCTGAGCCTAGCTTGCTTAGTGTAGAGTTAAGTAAAACTGGAGTGAGGAGAGTTGGAGACTGTTTGGTCTTTTTCCTCATGGACACTGGAAACTGAAATTAGTGTGATCATTAATCAGAGTGGAACATTTTCCCTGTCCCTTTTGCATAGAGCATCCAGTTTACACCAGTACAGACTATGACTTCAAGCAGACTGGAATGTTTATCTTTGAACAACTTTCACTGAGTAGGTCAAATGTGCAGGTTTTTTTAATCATTTGAAACCATGGCTCCAAACATGTGACACTGTCTTCTCTCTCTTATTTCAGCCTACAAAAGTTGCTCCCCTTATGCATACAAATGCCTCAATGGAAAATGTTTGCTGAAACAAAATCCTGAGTGTGATGGGAAAATAGACTGTGCAGATGGATCTGATGAAATGAATTGTGGTGTGGTAACATTTATTTAAAAATTAGTTAATGACTTGGAAAATTGAGTCAGAAATTTATGGTATGGCCAAGCATTATTGGATTAAGAATTGATTAAACCAGATGTGAATTTTAAAAAGATGAATCTCCTGGTAACATCTGTATGAAAATGTCTATCTTGAATTTTACACTGTTTCATTTTAAATCCACTGATCTATTCTGTCTATAATGAATTATTTGAAGCAGTGCATGCTTCCAGGATAAGCTGGTAGGTCTTACTGCTTGTTTGAGCTGAATGAAATGCAGTCAAGGAGCTGTGAATGTAAGGAGGGAAAAGATATGAGATTTTATTTAAGTGAACTTTTGAAAACAACCCAGTTTAGAATTGTGCTTAAATGTCTTTCAAGTCATGAACCTCTTCAGAAATATGTAAGGGAGAATAGGCAATGATTGGTTTACTCCTGACTTGCCCACTGGATGAAAATGGGCAAGTACCCTTACCTTTTTACCAACTACACAGTAAGAAAATACATTTTTTCCAACAGCTTTGAGGTTTATGGATAATTATTAAACATAGCAAAGTGAAATGAGCTTGTGTATTTTTTTATTTTATTCAATTATTTCTATTAGCTTGTGGAAGACACCAGCTTAAGAAAAACAGAATTGTTGGAGGTGAAAATGCAAGATCTGGAAAGTGGCCTTGGCAAGCAAGTTTACAGATGGGAGTACACGGCCATGTGTGTGGTGCATCTGTTATTTCCAACAGGTGGCTCATATCTGCTGCCCATTGCTTCCTGGATTCTGATTCTGTGAGGTATGAAGAAGTTATACTGTCATAAAGTATTTGCAGTTTAATAACCTTACAGTGTTGTTTTCATAAGTCTACAGTAGCTATTCCTTATCTAGATAAGTTGATTCAGGGTATAACTGTGACATGACATCACTACATGCACCCTCAATATTGTATTCTGCTGGCTTCAAAAGTCCTAACTATCTGAAGTAATTATTTGGCTTCCATTTCCAGTGAATCCTGCATGATAAAACACACTGTATTGTTAGATTTAGGGTAAACACCCTTTATTTTTTAAAAAAAAAAAAAAAGGCAGGGATTTTATGTTTAGGAGCCATGGCCTTTTCTCCTAATAAAAGAACTATTGTCCTTTTGTGCAAGTGGTGTGTACAGCTCACCAGTGTTTAGTTTAAGTAATGTAAATTGAAAAGACATACCTCCCACATGTGGCAAGGAGGAAATAGAGTTTAGTAATATGCTTTTCTGACTTCCAAGGCATGGTGCATTGCAAGGAATTGGTCTTATAGCTCCAGGAAAGTATTTTCAAAATAGTAAGTGAAAACATGATGTAATGTTTTAGGAGAGAGAGACTATAGTGCATCTATCTTCCTAAGTGGTATTCTACTCCATTCACTTTGGTTTTGAAGAATCTCATCAAATACTGCAAGGTAGATGAAATGTTGTGAATTGACACTGCGTTATTTTCAAATGGGGCATTCTAAACCCATTCTCTTTACAGATACTCCGTTCCTTCAGGATGGAGAGCATATATGGGCTTACATACTATTAATGAAAAGAGCAGTCGTGTAGCTGTGAGATCAATCAAAAGGATTATTGTTCACCCTCAGTATGACCAATCTATCTCAGACTATGACGTTGCCCTGTTGGAAATGGAGACGCCTGTATTCTTCAGTGAGCTGGTACAGCCCATTTGTTTACCCAGCACCTCTAGAGTATTTGTTTATGGAACTGTCTGCTATGTAACTGGCTGGGGAGCCATAAAAGAAAATAGTATGTTCATTTTCTGGATATACTTCTTGCAAATTTGGCTTAATTTTAAACTCTAACAATGAATATAGTCGTAGGAAAAAATACCTGTGGTTTACTTAGTAGGTATTTAAAAGCTAGAAAATGTCCTCTTCGCTACAGTCTGTGAATTCTGAATGCTTGCTTGGGAGGCAGGTGCTAAGTGACAATAAGCGTACTCAGGTGTCACAGACCACTGAAAAGAAAATTACTATAGATTTATAAAAATGTGGCCATTTTCACACTCATGGCTCATTTTATCTTGTGAATAGATCATAAGCAATTTTACCCGTAAAGAAAACAGCAACTTGAAATTATTGCAGAGAAAGAATTCGTCTCTAAGACAGAGTTTGACAATACAGGGCCATGAACAGCAATAATTGCACACACGTTGTGGATGTTTATTTATTTTGTCTGTCTTAACCAAAGGCAATTTAATGTATGCCCTGTGAAGAGTTCTGCCTCTGTGCAGCTTGGAGTAGCATGCTGCAGTGGGGAGGCAGGAAAAAAGCAAACAGAGTTGAAGAGGGACGGTGGGGGAGCCCATGAGATATTGACCCTCTCTTGGCATTTAACAGGAGCCAGCTTTGAATCCTGGGCTGAGACAGCTCCTCAGCATTGCAGTGGTCCCCACAACTGTGCTGAGACCTAGTTCCTCATGTTTTACCAGAAACCATATGCTATAGTAATTCTAGATTTCTTAATATGCTTTTTTTTAAAAAAGGTTTAAATCTAGATAATAACGTAATAGATTAATGAAGTGCAAATGGCTTTACAACTAATGCCATCATAAAATGTCTTGCTTTCTAACAGAATGATTTAGATAATATTTAAAAGTCAATATAATGGCATATGAAAAAAATATATTTTCCTGTCTTACCTGTTTCATTCCCAATTCACCCTCAGAGCTGAAAGAGCAAACAAACCAAAACCCAGTACTTCCTCTGATCCTTTAGGTATTGAAAGGGTTACATTCACTGTTGGGCCAAAACACGACTGAGGATATTTATTTCAAAATGACACAGATCTCAATACTACAGTACAGAATTAATCTCTTTGCATCACTTGTGACTTACAGGCTTGTGTTTTTTTAATTATTTATTTTCCCCCTCTCAGCTTCATTCCTCGGCTCCTTCCCTAAAAGTGAGAGGATGAAAAGAATGTAGAAATTTCATTTAGTAAGACTTGGACAATGTTTGGGGCACAACCATAGTGTAAATAACAACAGAAAGCTTTAGGCATGATTTGAAATGACATTTAAAATCACACTGTCTGAAATCTTGTATTATACTTACAATGTGCATGCTTTTTTTGCTACTTTCTGTTAGAACAAGCTCATAAGGATAAAGACTAAGGAAATGAAATGGAAAGGTGCTGCACAGGGATCTTGTTGTGGTTTAAACCTGGCCAGCAGCCAAACACCACATAGCTGCTTGCTCACCCTCCCGCACCCTGGGGAATGGGGAAGAGAATGGGATGGGTAAAGGGAGACTCTTGGGCTGAGATAAAAACAATTTAATAATTGAAATAAAATAGAACAATAACAGTAATAAAAAGTACAAATAGGTAATGCACAGTGTGATTACTCACCACCTGCTGACTGTTACCCAGCCTGCTCTTGGCTAACGATCCCAGAAAAAACAAGATCCCAAAACCGCAATCCCAGAAGTGAGGCCCTCCTTCCCAGACGACCCTCCTCTATATACTGAGCATGACGTTACATAATATGGAATATTTTATTGGCCAATTTGAGTCCAGTGCTCTGTCTCTGCTCCCTCCCAGACTGCACACCTGCTCATGGGCAGAACGTGGAGAGTTGGCAAGTCCTTGATCTCTTTAGCAACAACTGAAAACACCAGTGCATTATCAGCATTCTTATCATACCAAATCCCACACTGAATCCAAAGCACAGCACTACTCTAGCTGCTAAGAAGAAAAATTAACTCTATCCCAGCCAAAACCAGGACAGACCTCTATGTCTAGAGAGTAGTGCAGAAAACAGCTTTCAAAAGCTGAGGGCAGGCAGCAATTAACGGAGTGGAATTACTCTCCTATCATCAGCTGGGTAGATTTTGAGTTTAGAACAATTATCTTTTGCTTTGACAAGTGGTATCTCTGTTAGAAATCTGTACTACCATAATGTCTGCAATACCATTTGTATTTTTTCTAGGTCATCTTGCAAAAACACTGCAGGAAGCTCGAGTGAGAATAATTAACCAAAGTGTCTGCAACAAGCTGTATGATGATCTTATCACATCACGTATGCTGTGTGCTGGGAATCTTAATGGTGGAGTTGATGCATGCCAGGTAATGTGGAATGTATAGAAAAACTACAAAAGAATACTTGCTTTCATTGAATAACTGTTCAGAGTTGTGGGTTGATTGTGGTTTTTTTTTTCTTTTTGCCTTAGTAATAGAGCGAGATGTATTGAGTGTATGGTTAAGTTAACATGGCAATTAAAGTTTACAAAATTAGGAAGGAAATTTGTCATAGATAATCTCTGAAACTCTTGAGAAATGTCATTTTGCAAAACAAGGGGTAAAATGTGTTGAAAATAATTTTTTCTTCTTCAACAGTTACATTTCATATAAAAGAACATAGATGTAAGGCTAAGGAGACTAAAGTTAGGGCCATCTTTGATTTTTGCTATCCATATTGATTTTCTTTTCCTTTTTTGATGTCCGGGTGCAGGTTTAATAAAATACTGTAACATTATGATGAGTAATGTATTGTCACAGTTTCAAAGAAATACAAAAGGCAAAGGCAAGCTAGGTTCAGTAAATGCAGTTGCAATGCTGCCTTTTAGTTTCAAATGTTCATTGATGTGTATAACTACAAGTTTTGATTACATCATGGTATCATAAGTTATATGACCTAGTTTATTTCCACACACAATCAGAAACTGCTCTTTGGATGTGCTTCAACCGTCTTGACTCTGCCTTCTTTCTCCTTTTCAGTTATTCGGCTAGTCATGCACTTTATCAGTATTTAAACTTATCATGATGAATATCCATTCTCAAAATTACAAGCATGGTTGTTATAATAGTTACTATATAAAGAGAGAAAAATACGTTATTGATTTTTAGACTGTGGTAATTTTATAGAATTATTGTGTAACATATTTTACTATTTTAATGCAATAGAGTAATTTTTGCAAGATTATAGCTCATAATGGGTCAAACTTCTTTATACATGACAGACTTTTGGCAGGATCTTCCTGCATTCTCTAAGTTCTAATTCAATTAATTATTATTTTTGTTAACTTTATGTACAATTTGTGTATAGCCTTAGACCTTGGAACAGTTTTGCTAAAACACGTTGGTTTAGAGGCTCGATGTTCCTCCAAAAAATGTGTTTCTTAAGAAGTGCCCTTGAATTTTCTGATGGACGTCTTAACCAATTCAGCTACATACCATATTTGTCAATCCAGTTTCCAACATAATATGCTGTGTTTGAGTCTCAGCTTGCTGGCCCTCTGGGCCTGTAAATTCTTAGTCTAGGTAGCATCTTTGCTACTTCTTTCTTTTCTATCACTAGTGTATTTCTTGTGCAGTGCTAGGGAGGACTGATGTTGACAGGTCAGGAAATGCCCACAGCACCCTGAAACCCTTTTACTACAGTTCCAGATCTGTGGGCATCCTGATTTGTTTCATTTCTTCATGTACATGTAAGCTGTGCATGTACTGCACAGATTACGTGAAGCTTCCAAACACCTTTCATCTTTAGAGAATGGGATACTTAGAGTGAGAAATAAAATATTTACTCTTTCAGACTCTGTTTTCTTATCACTCTAGGATGGTCTTTGATCTTGGTTCCTCTTTTTAGGATCCTTCCTCTCTCGACCGGCATACAGTCCTCTCGATTTTTCAGAACTGGCTGAGTAATTAGCTGGACTGTATACCCTCCTTTCTCTAGTCACTTTGAGATCAGCCTCTTGGATTATCAACATTGCCAGTATGACAGCAGCCTGAGAGAGAGGAAGAACTGTTCTGGCTTCTTTTCTTATCTCTAGATAATTTTGTTTGGGTGATGAAGGCTTTCTATTGTTAATCTTTTCTCAGTACATGGCTTTCTTCTGACCTCTTCCATGTTTTAGCTCCAACTGGGGGGCAACAAACAAACCCCAGGGTCAACATGGAGGCTGCTGGGTGCCCGGTATGTGTAAGGAACAGCCGCAGACACGAGCAACATTCACAGCTGCTCGGAGTTCTGTGACCTGGTCTGTTCCCAGGCGGCATACAAATTTAAAACAATGAAGGGCACAAAGCATTTGTGAGCCCAAATGCATTTTGATCCTGTGAACTGAACTAAATGAGTTTTTACTTTTCTACATTGCTTTACAGAGCTGCGTGTTCCCTTTGAGAAGCCAGTTCTTATCTGCACATTCCTCAGCCTTTGTTCCTCCCTCTCCCACTATGAATGTAGACAGTCTTGATTATGAAACTACTGATTATACTTAATTGCGCCTGGTTTGTTTTTTTGGTTTTGTGTTTATTTTGGTTTGTGTTTGTTTGTGGGTTTTTTTTTGGTTGGGGGGAGTGTGGTATCTTTCTGTTCCTATTTAATAAACATCGTAAGATTTGTGCCTTCAACCTGTGAACAATTTATGGTAAAATGTCAGCACAATTCCCATTTTTGAACCTTATCTTCTCCTCTTCCAGTCAGCCTGTGATCAGTTGCTTTATGAATCCTGTAACAGGACATTAGCAATGAGTAATTTTTCAAACAGCTTCTTTCCATTGCTTTATATTGATTAGTGTGCTACTTCCATAAGTTAAAATAAATTTAGTAAATTTGACATCTATCTAGATATATTCTATCCAGAAATAGAGTCTAATGTTAAATTCTAATTTGAGAAAGGGAGGGGCAGGTATTTACTTATTTACTGTCCTTAAGCAATCTAACTTGTTATGGTGCTCTGTTTGTGTGTGTGAGGGCGTGCACTAATGGCTGAACTCCATTTTAGGGAGATTCTGGAGGTCCCTTGGCCTGCACAGGGAAGGGAAATAAATGGTACCTTGCTGGCATTGTGAGCTGGGGTGAAGGATGTGCTCGGCGCAATCGTCCTGGTGTGTACGCTAAGGTGACGGCACTTTATGACTGGATTCGTCAGAATACAAACTGATGTGCCAAGGAGAAAATGCAGATCATCTCCCTTATGAAAGCTGCTTCCTTCCATCATGTCCATCTCTAACGATATAACATGAAAATGCCATTGACTGTTTCTTTGTGAAAGAATGCACTCTTCTTATGAAGAAACTAGCATTTGTTGTTCACCTAGCAGTAGCTGTTCTGATTCAGAGCAGCTTCAGATACCTTATGGATTAATTTTCCTTATCCTCAGCAGCAGAAACAGCACTGCCTTAAAAACAAAATAAAATGGATTAGAACATGTATCAAAAATCCAGCCAAAGCTTTCTTGCAAACCTCTCCCCTCCTTCTATTTCCTTTGATATCTATGTATGTTTCCACATACACGTATCTGGATATTCATGGCCAGGTCCCATATATACTCAACTCATATTACCTTAGTGATATTACAGTGATATTCTAAACATAGATAACTATTTCATGTGTCTTGAAAATACAAATACTATAATCAGTATGGTGTACAAAACTGAGATTAATTCATTCTCTAGTTATGCTGCCACTGCATGACTGTTCCTTTCTGGGCTGTAATTTTTGTGCTGTCTCCTGTGTTTTCCTAAAAACGTCAGATATATAGCTCACAAATGCTAGGATGCAAGAAGTTTTCATAAAAGAACTGAAAGAGCATCACTTAGGTTGTTTGGGATGATGTTTAAATAAAAGGAAAGAAATACTCAAATTAATTACACAAAGGGAAACTTTAGTGATTTCTTAAATTCTCTTTACAGTTTGAAAATACCTGTGGGGTCTGATGTTTGCAATATGTTATGAGCGTATTTTCCCAGCTCTGGATCAGGCATGCTTTGTGAATTTTTAGCATGCTCCTATTGGGTTCACACTGCTTTTCCTGGTGTCCTTGGTCTGCAGCAAGCAGAGTTTCAGGGCCGGGGTTTTTGTTTTGTATCTCTTCCTGGGCTGTGCCCACATGGCCACACTACATTGAAAAAAGACATAAAAAAAAAGCCCGATTCATGTGATTGGATGCATTCTTGGACTCAAAGAAAGTATAAGAGGAAATGTCAGCCACATTCCTTTAACCCTAGCAGTAACTTTAGCTTTGGTAATTATAATCTCCTGATGAGCTCATCTGCCCAAATCTAGATGATTTAAAGTTTCCAAAGCTGTTTATGGGACTTAAGAATGCTGGTATTCAGCTTAATAAAAGATCTGTCTAATTGGTCTTAAAATTGTGTTCAGTATTTGGAAGTGTTTAGTTTTCAACTTTAATGTATTAAAAAAAAAAAAAAAAAAGAAAAAAAATAAGCTGGCAATTTGAATACCAGTAATTGTTGTCCACACAACACACTTTTAAATTCTACACTCCATAAATATGTCATCATTTGTTTAGTTTTAGACCCACCTTGGAAGCATGTGGGGAAAACACTGTAATCTTCACACAGTAAGATTCCTGTGTCTAACACCAGTACTGCTTTTCCTTCTTTTCTTGCACCAGCATTGGGCATTTTCCACCCCCATGATGCTTGTGTCAAATTTACTCTATAAGCTATAATCAGAGTCTATATTTTAGGAGGCTTGGTATCTTTAATGGCTAGTCAGCCATTTACATCTTCCTTTTTAATAAACACATGCTAAAAATGCAAGTGGCTATGTTTTATTCATTTGATTGTGCCTCAAATTGTAATCCCTAGGTGTAACCAGAACTATGTACCTTAGAGTTTCCTCTTTTTGAAAGCTGAGTAAAACGGGCAAGTTAGGCAAAAGTACACATTTTAAGGGCACAAGTTGCTTTTCCTTGTATTGAAAGCACAGATGTCATCACTATGGAAGAAAACAGTTTTCCTGCTCTTCAGTTTTAGATAAAAGTCTAAGTCAGAAAGTTCAGATCAGTTCTTGACTTCCCGTTTTCTTTAAGAGTTTCTCAGCTCTGTGCGTCAGAAGGGTCAGTTACTTCACATGCAAGAAAAGCACCAAGTGTGGAAGTTAGATCACCCAGACGAAAGAAACTCAAGACTTTGTAAGGAGCTCCTCCACAGATGTAAACAGAAGAACTTTGGCTTTTGCAGGGTGAGATCCATAATCATTAACTCATTTTACTTAGAAAAACTCTTTTGGTCTCAGACAATTCAGTAGGAAGGTAAGGTCTTTTACTGTAAGTGAAAATGAAGTAAATTAAGCTCATCTCCAGCAGGAGTACTGAGAACCATAAGGTAAAGGCTTTCCTAGTGAAGGTGTCCAGGTAGAATTTTGTGGATCCTGGACACGTGTTTTGATCTTGATGACTGCTCAGCTTCATCCTCAGTACTCAGGAATTTTAAGGGTTCTCCAGAACTGAAAGGTGGGCTATACAATTTGTATTTCTTTTTACTTGCTGAATGAAACCAAGCCATGTGCTCGGCCTCATGGAGGGCCTTTGCCTGGGTGGCTGTGACATGACATCAGGAATCTGAACCCTGGGGAACATTTCAGGCATCAGTCTCCAAATGTGTTGCACAAAGAGAAAATCTGGGGGTGAAAACATCCTCAGCATTTGGCAGCAAAAAGAAAGAGCAGTGCTGTGAGTGGGTACTCAGCCAGCAGGGGAGGGAGTTGGAGAGAGAGACTGTGTCCTGCTTAATGCGTGATCCTCTCTGTGCTGGGACAAGAGAGTGAGCAAGAGTGCGGTTACTGTCTGCCTGCCCAACCCTTTTGATCCAGAGGGGACAGTGGTGCTCTGTGGGGAGGAAGGAGAGATGCAACGGTGGAGTCAGAACAGGAGGAATGAGAGGAGGTAGGATGAAGGATACTGGGGAGGTGGGGGCAGGAATCAGCCCCTGGCTGCAGTAAGTTGTTATGTGTGGCTCAAAGTAGCACGGGAGAGTTCATTTGGGAAGCTAGTACAGAACAGTTCTCACTCACACCGTGATTTGATTCATAAAAGCATGCCCTGTAGAGCACAGGCTGAAATTGAAGGCCATCTTCCTCTTCAGATTTGTGGTTTTGGGTTTTCACATGGAAGCAGCTTCTCAGGTTTAGGTTGGATAGTATATGAATAGACTTAAATGGTTCTTCAACACAAGACATGATTTTAGGCTGCATAACAGCTAGAGAGAGGACAATTCATGGCACAAATAACACAGTAGTGTTAATTTCTTTATTGACTATACAGGGAAACTAAAATTAGAAGTGTTGATGAATGTTATAAGTTCCCTTCACAGCCTAACTGCACCACAGGCTACGTGATCCTTTACTCTGTGCTGTTCAGAACCACATCTGTTTGCTGTTATTGTTTAGCCATGCAGCTAAACAACAGTATTTTACTGTTTCAGCTGACAGCAGCAGGGTAAGGAACGTGGTTCCTTTCAAAACTGCCTCAGCAAATGACAACGTTGCTGAAGGTTTAGTCACCTGCTTGTCAAGGGCTGGTACAGTAAGGTAGACAAACTGGAAAACCTGGTATTGCATAGCTGAGAGCTGTAGTTCGGACGACTAGGCAAATCGATACTTCCTCCACCTCCCGTTTCTCCATAGCTAGCGTAGATGACTTTATTTGTCCAAGGAATTCCCCTTATTTATCAGTGTTTTGGCATCACTCCTGTGAAAACTATCCCAAGTCTCCCTGTTACTGTCTCCAGCCTCGTACCAGACCTGCTACTGACCATAACTGCAGCTGAAACCAGAAGGAAATGAGTTGCCTCCGTGCTTGCTTCAGAGACAGAGGTCCTCGCACAGAGACAGAAGCTATGGAAAGGCAAAGCTCTGCTCAGGAGCATGACATTATTGAATTACAAGAAGATAATGTGGATGAAAGTGAGGCTGATCACGGCAAGCCTCTGAACACTCAAACAAGAAAGGTAGGAATTTCACTTGCTCATTTGATGCTTGCTGTTGGGGAAAATACCACACACCAAGGGAAACAACACTTTGCAGGTAGAACTTGTAGGGGTGGTTTAATTTGTTGTTTGAGGGAGAGGGAAAGGTTATTCACTTGAAAGTAAAAGCTGAAGACCTGTTAAACATATTTCTTTTCTTCTTCTCAATTAAGTATTCTAATTTTGGAGTGGGATTTTAAGCTTTTCTATTTTTTGTGCTTGGCTGTTTGTGAACTTTAACTTAAGAAATTAAGTTGTAATTGGTACTGTGAGTTTTTCTTTTTCTTTTCACGTGCTGTCAGTGCAATTTGGGCTCAAAACTAGACAGGAGAAAAGTTGAAACTCATATTTTAAAAACAGGCTTTCTTTCAGAACAAATTAATTGGAAAACAGCTCTGCCAAAAGAATAGGATGTCCTGAAACCAACCGTGCTGGATTCTCTCCCTTTTTACCTTTGAGTAATTTTTAGTAGCTAACAATTATGAATTTGTATGAATAGAGTACCCCAAAGCCTCAAGACCAGTATGTGAGCCCTGAGAGAGGTAGCTCCCAGCATTTAGCTTGAAGCTATAGAACAGACTAACGCTGGCAGAGCAGAAATATATACTCCCAGGTGACTGTTGTTCCGTGATTTTCATTACTTACTCAGTGGGCTATCTGTAGCAGAGCTAAGAAGTTTCCCACTTTTCTGTAGGGATGGCTGAGCCCTCCTGAGAGCTCATCTGTATTAGTCACACCACCCCTCCCTTCCTGCTCCCAGCAGAGCCACAGCGACTGCTTCCTCATGTGAGCCCTGCTGATCATCTCTGTGGGCTGGTTCGTTCCACCAGCCAGGCAAAAAACCCATTTACTCTGCTGTATTGGGGGGCAGTTACTTCTCCTCTGGTCTGGTAAGCTGAATCAGCTCGCTGCGGGGTCAGACGTATTCTAGGGAGATGCAAAGAGGAACAGGAGAGGGTGGAGGAGAGGCAGGGGTGAGTGAGATCCGCTCAGCTATTTTGAGAAACTTTACCCTTAACTTTCTGTTTAGCCTTTCCCTTCCCAGCACTGAGTTTTCATTGGGAGTCTGTTTCTGCTGATTTTGGCAATTAGCTTCCCGTCCTTTAGGGACTGCTGGAAAATGATCATGCTCTGCTTCCTGCTTAGGTGGCAGGTTAATCCAAAGGATCGCCCTGTTCACTGGGGAGAGATTTTCTCTGCTGCTGCTCCCTCCCAGCAGGCTTGTGAGGTACATGGGCAATGTCCAGAGGGTGTAGGGATAGTTGTGGAGCTGAATGTTTGCTTCAGATCAAGCCAGTTTGTTATGCGTGACTAAGAATGACGCTTTTGTGATGGTCTAAATATGTGGCTCAATCGAAACTTGGGCTTGATAGCAGTCTGTCTTAACCAATATTACTATGACTGATTTCATAGTTGCACTCTAAGCAGTACTTACTGGCTTCTTTTTCTTTTTTCAGACATAAAACGGTATGCTAGTGTCAAGTATTGAAGCTTCATTCTTCTAATACATTTTAAAAATCAAATAGAAAATATGTATGTAAACATGATCATACCTAAAAACATGCTGTAAACTAAACCATATTCAACCTTTGCCCTTTGTTCTCCACCAAAGTTCCGCATGCAGGGGTGTCTGCAGACTGCTTTCCCTTTCTCTGCCCCTGTGCCTGGAGAAATGACTTCTGTAAGATCTTTCTGTGGGTGTTTGTTTTCTCCCTCTTCATCTGCCACCCCCCAAAGCAGCTTTAAGCCAGCTGGTGGATGTCAGCTGAATTCAGTGAAAGGCTGTTATGCTGGGTTCTTAGAAAGTTTAAAAAGTAAAGGAAGGAAACCTGGGTTAATATTCCAGCCAGCAGTTGGTTCCTGCCAATCTGCATGCGTGTGGCCCAGACAACCTACAGCATGTGCTTTTCCTTTCCTGTTACTGATGTCAAAAAAGATGTGGACTTTAATGCTGAGTTTATGGTGGCTGGGGAGGAGGAGGAAGAGGAATTAAAAAGGCAGCATGTTCTCCTTAGGAGTTCATGCCCTTCCTTCAGTCTTCTGGCTATGGAACAAAATAGTTGGAGTTATTTGTTTTGCTATGTCACCTAAGCCTTGTTTTTTTGGTTTTTTGTTTTTTTTTTTTTTTTTTAATGTTAGTACTCCTGGGGTAACTAATTAAAAGACTGATTTCTGCCATGGTCTTAAATATTACTAAAAATTAAATGAAAGTTCAGTATTGTCCTTTCTCTCCTGTATGATCATACATGTATAGACAGTTGCTTTGAAGAAAATTTCCTTGTGATCCCCTAGAATGGGTGAGATTTGTAATAAACTTTCTGTTAACTGTACTCAATAGCCCTTAAGTTTCCAATCTTCTGAAGAAAAAGGGCATCAGCTGTAAAAGTCTCAAATTTTTATGTTGTTTTTTAATGCAGTTGTATCTAATCATTAGCAGTCCATTTGCTTTGGGTGCTGGCACCCAGGAGCTATGCAAATTGATATCATCATTGTTGTAGAGGTGAATGATTCTGGAAATTCCTCCATAGACACCTTTTTGGATGGGAGAGATGGCAGACATTAAAAGGACAGCTTGTGGAACATGCAAATCAAATTGATGTGGTTTTAAAAAAAAATTGTGAGCCATAAAAGCACCTTTGTCGCACCTTAGTTTCATGGTCAATTCAGGAGTTGGAAATTCTGCACAAATGGGGAATGATATGTCTCTTGAGTAGTAACTTGTCTGTAAATGTCCTTTGTCTTCTGCAGGTCTACATTCCCACCTGCAGCAGTAGTTAGTGGTGAGAACCTCTGGTGTAGGGCATTGCTTACCAATGAGACTTTCCCATCTACATGGAGCTTTTGTTTCTAAATGTGATAGAAGGGACATGCTTTGATATTTTTTCCACCTTATGTCATTAATCAATATGCCCTTTCCTTTTATAACTAGGAGAGAGATCACTGGAAATCATGCAGGAATGTAGTTTTCTGGAAGTGTAAACTATGGATGGTTATAACTACAATCTTTCTGGTATTCTTCCTGGTCATTCTCATCAGCCTAATTCTGTACTCTAGTAAGTATCTCACTCTTGGTTCAACCTCTGATACAAATGTACAAGATGTAAAATCTAATATAACACAAATTGGACAGCAGCAGACTTTAAACTCCTGTAAAGTCCTGAAGGGACTGGGTTGCTGATTTCAGTGGGTGGTGTGTTGAGTAGTGGATGTGAACGATTTTATTTTAGCAGGCAGCAAGCTACTTGTATCCTGATCAGATGGCAATTCCAGTTTGTAGCTAAGTGAGAAAATGTTATGAGAACAGATTCAGCCATAAGGATGGAAATGGTGCTTGTAATGATCACTTGCATCCCCTCACATGATGTCAGTGCCTGTCAGGCTCCCGAAGCAGCTGACTCTCGCTAATGGGGGCGGGTGATTGACCTCCATGTGCTGTCACTTTTTTTCAGGTGGCTTGCACTTTCTTTCTGTCACTCCCAGTCAGTCATTACCTAGAAAATCTGTGAGAAAGACACCTTGGAGAAAGCCAAGAGGGTTTTTCTTTTTCAATGCTTCTGCTAAATGGAATTTTTTCCTCTGCTTTCTATCTCCTTTTGAATATTAGATGTTTACACAGATGAGGATGACTACTGGGATCCTGATGCACTACTAAATAGTGGATTTTGTCGCAATTTTTCGGGAACGTTGGAGTTACTGTGTGGTCTCCCACACCTTTTCTCTGAAGACATTACTAAGAGGGTATGTGTTGATGTGGTTCTTGGCAAAGCTGATTCTGCTTGTAACATAGAATCAGCGTTTTCCTTTTTAAGAAGTTTCTGTTTCTCTGTGTAGCAACTCAGTCATTTGTAAGTCCGCATGAAATTCTGAGTTGTACTTTTTCTACTATAATTTTAAGTCCTGATCTAGAAAAAAAGAATTTTCTGCTTTTGAGCACACATTTTGTTTATGCTGATTTAAAAACAAAACAAAACAAAACAACAATGCACCTGATATTTTTGCCAAATTTGAATAATGGTTGGGACATAGTCTTTACCTTTTTCATAGAATCGTTGAATAATTTAGGTTAGGAGGGGACTGTGAAGTCATCTAAACCCAATGTTGGCTAAAATCCTGTGTGTTGTGTTTTCCTGTAAGTACACGGTGGCAGCTCAGCAGGCATGGCAGTGCTGATTTAGACTTATTGTGGAAAGGGAGTCTCACTAGTGAGACCCTTCCCTCTACCAAGTAAGAATAGAAGGGCTTTTTGGTACTAATGAAAACACAAGACAAACAACATATATTGCATGTGGCAACATGAGCATGCACTTCTAGTTCACCCTGAATGCCTCCATTTTGTTAAGGTAATATAGTAATCACTCAAACACACAGATTAACTTGTCTGTCAAGCTTAAAGGCATTGTGTACTTTTTCCAGGGCAGATATTTGCTGATATTTCACCTTCAGCGCCTGTGCTTATGGCCCTTAAAACACCTTGTACGAATGATTTGCTGTAAGTTCTTTTATGGGGAAGAGAGAGTGAACAAAATAAATATTTTTTTCTTTTATTTTTTCTCTCCAAGTTAACAGATGTCTACAGTTCATCTCCAGCTCTAGGACGCTACTTTAGGTCAGCTCAGGTGCTTTATTTCAGGTAAGCAAGTTCTGTCACCAATATTATCTGAAAATTGCAGGCTTTTCAGAGACATACATGTGCCTGTGTAAATATGCATGACATTTAAATCAGTGAAAAATAGGTTGTTTGGGTGAAGTTACATATGTAAGTAGTGAAAAACAGTTGAAGGACCCTCTGGTGTAAATGGCAAGTGCTGCTAAGAATATATAATGACAATGTTGTTGCTATTAAGTATCTCTGTCTTTGTTTCCAAGTGAAGCCCTTAATAAACATATTCAGTGATATTTATTAAAAGGAGAATGAGCTGCTCGGACCACTAGAGATTGAGATGGCTTAAATATGCTTAAATAATTAAAACAGGGTTTGTGGGGAGGGGTGAACTGCTTTCTTCCTGAAAGAGCTAAAGGCAACAGGGATGTACAAATCATGAAAGCCAACGCAATGATATTGCATTGCTGGTTTGTTTGGACCACTTTTCCCCCTCACCTTTTTTGGTCAACAGGAGCAAATCTCAAAGCAGCAGCATGTTGGAGAGACTGGTGGAACAACAGTGAGAGGCAGAGCAGGCAGCGCCGTGGAGGCTAGGCTAGGCTGGGTGGGAGACACTTGCACATGAAGGAGAAGCTCAGCCACCAAAAGCTGGTGGAGCCAGAGGAGGAGTAGTGGTGGGAAGAAGGGGAAAAGCACCCAGGCCTGCTTTGCAGGGGTAACAGAAAGCTTCAAGCTGGAACATAGGGAGGATCTTCCTCTCAGCAGAAACTGTCACTGGAGGAAGGCGAAGGAGTTCACTGTGTGTGAGACTGTCAAATTTTAATCTGTGGTAATACCACAGATTTACAACAGGGGGGAGTCTGAGCAGTAGATGGAAGAGTGGGGCTGGAAAGATCAGGTGCAGCACGGTCCTTCTGTGGAGAGGTAGAAGGGAGGCAACGGAAGGCAATCAAAGAGCTTCTCCAAGGACTTCTGAAAAAGCACTTACAAAATGGGTTAGAAAGACAGGAGAAAACCAAGGAAAGTAGATTTGTAAAGTCCCAAGGCCCATGAGAGAGCAAGGACAGAGGAGGAGCCCCCTTGGAAGGGACAGTCCCGAGGGCACTTTGGGGAATGTGCTCCCCTGTACTTCCAGCCTGGGGTATGCCAGCGCAGTTAAATGAATGAGCTATAGTTCCTTAGCCTTACTGGTAAAAATTATTGTTTAGATCATCAAGTACAAAGCTGTAGTTCTGCATAAATACTGACTAGCTGATTTCTCTCCCCCCTCCCTCTGCTTTGTGCATATGTGTCTCTGCCTCTTTGTCTCTCTCTCTGTCTTTCCTTTTCTTTTCCTCCATCCAGCTACTTTTTTTATGTTTTAAATTCTGTGAGTACAAAGTCTAACTGTCAAATTGTAGTCAGTGGATTTGGTAGACCGCAAACAATGAAATCTCCAGAGATAAACTTCAGTTCCGTGGTTTGCGTAATCCACTCCGGAGCTGAGTTAGGAGCCCGGGTGGGTGGCTCCAGGTACAGCTAGCAGGACAGCAAATATTTCTGCAGGTTCTTAGCTAACCTGTGCATGAGATACTGCAGCACCTCTTATCGTTATGTACTTGTGAAGCACAGGTGCTGAAAACCTCACCCCAATAGGACACATGTCCAATTGCCCTTTGTGCATTTGAAAGCATGTCTCAGGTTGGCTACAGGTTATGTTCCCAGTTCTTATTTCTGTTAATGTCAAGAGCTGTTCTGAGAAGGGAGGGGGAGGAGGAAACTGGAATCTTTGATGGCAGTTTTCTTTAAAAATGCTTTTCTTCAGAACAAGTTTAAAAAAATCTGCGCCAACGTTGATATAAAAAGTCAGTCTTCTCAAAAAATAAATGATCCAGTGGGGACTTGAAGGCATTCATTCTTGACTTTGTTTTTCAGTAATGAAAACTCCACTGTATTTTATCAGCTAGAGTTTTCTGTACCACCATCAATAGAGGGGTTTATGGAAAACACAATGAATCCAGATTTTATAAGGAATGTTTTACGTCAAAATATTTATGATGAAGATGATACTTTTAATCCTGGGACATCTGAATGTAACAGGTTAAAGCTGGACCCAACTTCTCTCACATTAACATGTAAGTGCTGTACGTTAGAGGGACTGTTTCTTTACAAAGAGCAGAAGTATTTACTTGAATGGAGGGAAATCTTTCTGGAAATATTTTGAGATTTTTTGGTAAATATATTTTGCACAACAGAATTAAGAAAATTGTAAAATACTTAGTTTTCAAGAAAGTCTAGATATGCTTAATTTATAACCTAGGATTGACTGTTTGGTTCTCTGATGAGAAAGAGAGTACTGATGAGACCAGTTAGCTACAGACTCCCACCAAAGCTTTTCTGATCTCCTCTTGTGTTTTATGCATAAAAAGAAAATCTCCTCATATGTGTGCACCATAACAGGGAGCCAAAGAATTAAAAATGTTTCTCCTCATTGTATGTTCGTTACTGAGTGCTTATAAAACAAATTTTAATCCATGCAAAATAAGATAAATAATTTGGGAGTGAACTTCTGAATTTTTCACAGTCAAGGATGAAAAAGCCTCCTGATTTTTGTCTTTTCAGAGTTTTTTGGGAAAATTTATTATGCGCAGATACCTTTTAAAGGAACCAAATGTTCATTCTTCCAGGTTTTCTAGGTAGCTATTCCAATGTCTACTAGTGACTAGGCAGTGATTCCAATGCATTTAGATTTGTCTTGGTTGAAATGTCAGTATAAGAGTCCTATGAGCTTTGCAGTTTTACTGAAAACAATGCACAGATCTGCTTCCCCCCAACCCCCAACTTACCGAGCCACACCTGTGTGCTTTCAGAATAGTTCTAGCCTAGCACATCACCATACAGTGTACATAAGTAAGATTTGTGATTAACTTATATTGATTTTTCTTGGTACTCTTATCAAGAGGCAAGAGAGCAACAAGTCATGAGTTCCAATTCTCAGTATCATTTTGTTCCTTATATATTGACAGGATTCATAGAAAATGTAGTGTAAGAGGGACAGGAAAGAATATGCTGAAATATATAACTAAAGTTTCATTTTAATGTTAATAATTTACTGTTTTAACTTTCAGAGAAATGATGGAAAGACTCCTCATCTTCCTCACTTACTAGAAGAGATGGGCTTCTCCTATCTATTACTAATCCCAGGGCAAGGAGCTGTTCATTAGGTAGAACCACTTCTAAATATGTTGTCCTGTAAATACTTTCTGTGATGCAATATTGTAAATGGAAAATGTAGTATATTTATACCAGTGTTGTACTCCTGTAACACCTCTACCTCCTTTATTGTTGTCCTGATGTCTCAATAACCCATTTCATTCTTGTGAAAATCATGTATCTTGTCTGATACATGCTCTGTTGACTTTGAAAGCTTTGCTTTGCCTTGCCTTAAGGATAAATCTGGATTCCCTTCACAGGCTATAAAAGCAGCTCCTTTCTTATTTTCTTGGTTTATCCAAAATTATCTGCACAGCTTCATCCTTAATGCTTACTTCCACCCATGCTCATGTCTGTTACTTTTTTCCCTGCTAACTTCATATGCCATGTTTCCCTGTGGTTCTTTCCTCATAAAACAACCCAGAAACTTAAACATCCTCTCTATTTTCTTTAATAACATGGAAGACCTTGCCACTAGCTTCTTAAGTGAACTTTCACTCTCATCATTCCCTTGTTTATCCTACAGTCTTCCTGGATAAGGTGGTATATGCTCTATTTTTCTCTTCTGTAATGTGAAATATCAATGAAGGAAGAAACATCAGGAAGAAACATGTCTTGTTCACTAATGCATCTGAATGCCACAAGAATCTTTCAAGGGTCAAATTGGCTGTGTGCTCTAATAATTAGCTACTGGTGCTAGCAAATAGATAGCTATTTGACCCACATTTATAAATCCAAGGAGAAACTAGTCTATACCCTTGATTATAATTCCTGTCCCAGCAGTGGGGATAAAAATGAACAGATGTAAGGTATTTGCCTTAATAAGGCAGCATATAGTTGTTCTTGTTGACAAGAGATTAGATGAACCAATGTCAAGAGAAAGGTGCTGAAGCAGACCATGTTGGCCAGTGTGGCGTGAGAGTTATAGACAGTAACTGGCTATAACATGAAAGATGAAAATTAAACATTAACTTTACACAGAATGAAATGGATTCACTACCATGTTAGTGAGTATAGCTTCTTGTCATTTGTTTATAACCAGTATAAATGTTAGTACTGTTGGATAGACAGATTTATTTTAAGAAACCTTTTGTATTGTGAGAAATATCTTAAGGGAAATTGTATTTCTCTTTTTCCAATATTGCTATTTTATTTAAGGAGTAATCTGACAAATGTAAAATGCATTAAATTATTTACTTTTACTCTTAAAGTGATTATTTTCGTTCTTCAACATCTCCAATCTTTCAACTGTTTGAGTTGGAAAATAACCATCAGAATTCTAAACACTGAAAGCAGTATGAAGAGTCTGTCTGACACAGCTGTGCACTCAAATTCGTATTTGTTGTTGCTCGAGTTTTAACTGAGCCTGGGAAACAGTCTGGACCAAATTAGTAGTTTGTTTGGCTCTCATATTTGTGGGTAATTCTGACCCATCTTGATTTGTAAGATGTAGCGTTAGCTGTAAGAATCATCATTTCTCTTGATGCAGTATTCTGTGCAGCATACAACTAGAAGAGATGTTCCTCCTGATTCTTACACTGGAGGGGTGATAAAAGTCATGGTTTGTATGGTTTGTCCCAAAAACAGCAGGCTATGAAAACACCAGCAGCAAATAAATAATTTGCCTTTGAGATGCTGCTTGATCTTACTGCTCTGACACAAATGACTGAATCTGTCCTTGAACACTTACTTATTTTAATGCTGTTTCTAGGAACTGAAAAATAATATAATGATTATGCTTCTTTATTGTGATACCCCTGTGTGCTTTAGGAGTCAACAGAAACAAGGAGGAGCCAAGCATTCTTTTTTTTTCCTAGCCATTCTCCTCTGCCCCAGTACCTTTACCCCAGCAATTCACAGGAAAGAAGAAGGTGGAGTTGGAGCAAGATGTTGTGATAAACAACAGAAAATGTCCAACTTTACAGTCTACTTCCAGTCAAGCTTTGAACTCTCATTGAAGAAAATGTCAAAAAATTACAAAAAGTGGTTTCTGTTCTTATATCTTTGAGGTAAATTAATCATGTAAAAGAAAATAACCAATTAATTATGACATCCATTAGGGACAGAGCAGTGTGAAAACACATTATTTCATCAAATTAGATATTTTATGTGGATGCTTAATGTTAATTTCATTAGAAGGGGTGTGGGTAATATTTCAATGACTGAGGCAACTGAGACATTGTTAAAAAGGAGGATAAAAGATAGTTCTGGTAATTCAGTTTGTGGAGTGTGCCCTTTGAAATCTCACAGCAGGCAGTCATCTGTGTAGCCACAGCAGCCAGTACAAACTTTGGGCAGATTCAGCTGCCTGTCACTGTGGCAGTACCTGTAGAATACTGCCTGCATCATGCTAGCAGTGTTTCTGCATCAGTTTTAACTGTCTTCTAAGTGGCTGGAATTTTTTTTTTTACATGCAGTTTGTTGCCTTTTTTATTTAATTCCAACTTTGTTAAGACTTCACTCTAAGATTAGTAGTATTACATTGAAAGGGAGGGACAATTTTAGAAATGATTTATCAAAACTGTACATTGTATAATGGCATATATCAAACAGGCCAGAGAAACTTTGCAAAAAAGCAAGCGAACCTAACACAGGTTCTATTCTTTCATTTAAAAAACAAAACACCCTTGAAACAAACAAACAAATAACCAAACAAGAAGGGGTGTTTTCATTGTATTTTGAAATTTCTAGCAGCAGTTCTGTAAGACATCTTTTTAAAACTAAGTACTGTAAAAGTCTGGAAGAATGTGCAGCCTCAGTTGCTTCTGTCTTACAAGGGCAGTTGCTACTAATTCCTCTTGGTTTAATTGTCAAGTCAGGTACCCTGTCCATGTCTCTTTCTCTAATCACCTTTTCAGGGACAGATTTGTCTCATTGGAAATGATTGGCAGATTTGTCCTAATGAATAAACTTGGTAACAAGGGGGAGATGTTTGTTTGAAAACCTGGCAGAAGTAGGATGGTTAGCAAGGCTGTACACGTTTAAGTAAAAGAGTGTCTTGGTAGCAGAAAGTGTCCATTTCTAAGCTATCAGGACATAATCATATTCACTGTGCTCTTCATCTCTGGTGATATTTTCCTTCCTCTTGGGCACATTGACAAGTGTGTATTCTGCCTGATTATTGCTCTTAATCACAGAGGCTCCATGTTTTACGTCGTGCCTGACAGTAGAGTACCACAGTTCACTGGAATTCATAGCATCTTCTTTGGCAAAATCTTCCTGAGAGGGAGGGAGGAAGAGAGAGAGAGAGATGAGCTTCAACATAATTATACCCCGAAGAAGTTTGCAATGTGAGCAAATCTGGCATAGCCTCTGCGCTCACGCAGTGGTGTTGGCCAATGTACGTAGTACCGAGAACAGTTTGTAAATCCGCAGTCATTTCCCTGCTGTACAGGCTGTGGCTGGGCACCAGGAGCTCCCAACAACATGGGCACCCCTGGTGTGGATGGAGGGTGGAGGTCTGACTCTTGTCCTGAGGTTGGCAGTGCATGGTGGTAGGTTACATGGTAAAAAGCTCATCACCACCTGTGCAGAAGGGAGCACAGGCAGCACAGTCACAGATGGGGAGCCCAAATCACCCCCTGCACCAGCTTCCCCCAGGGCTGTCTCAGGAGAAATGTCATCCCAGTGAGCCCAGGGGGACGTCTGCCCAAGGAGTGAATGGGAGCAGGTGAGGGTGGAGGCAGAGTTACTTATCGATCCATGTGAGAGGAGAGCATCTGGGCTTTCCACAAGATTTAATATGGGGTGTTTAGGGGAGGAACTAAAGGGAGGCGGTCAAGGTGATTTGCAGAGTAAAAAGCACAGGAAAACAGAGGAATAAAGGGAGGGACAGGGGAGTCGTGGCCAGCTGAGAGAGAGACCATAGGGTCTGGGAGTCAACTGAGACCCCAAGTGTGTGTGTGTGTGTGTGTTTGTGTGTGTGTGTGTGTGTGCAGGAGACACACTATCCTGGAAGGGACCCTGGCCTCACAGGAGAGTCAGTGATGGCTAACCCCCTCTCTGGCTGCCCTCATCTCATGCTCTCCTTGAAAGCAGAGGGAGGAGAAGGAAGAGCCATTAATGAAGGAGGAGGTAAGACTGCGTGGGTAAATGCCTTCCCAACTCTGTTTAGACTTGTCCCTCTTTTTGCCTCTTGAAGGTGTTTGCTAATGGGTTGTGGGTGATTGTGCATCTGAATAGCTAGCAGGATGACTCATTAAATCTAAAGGGACAATGTGAACTGATTAAGTACTTGGATGAATGTGTTTGCCCTGGTGCTCTTGATTTGAACCCACTGGGTAATAAAGCCAGAAAGTACAGGCTTTTTATACTGGTATCCTCTATTGTCTACAGTAGTAGTAGTATTTTAAGTGGGTGTTGCTGATTTCATGCTGACATTTGTATCTACCTTTCACACTCTCTAAGTAGAACAGAGGTCTCTGCTCCACAGATTAATAAGCGCAAAGGTTTTGCTCTTATTTTTCAAACCTAGAAGTGAGAGTTGTTAGAATATTGTTCCTGATGAATCTGTCTCAGATTTTTCCAACTTATATAAATGATTTTCTCTGTTTAGATTCTGCTTGGTGTGAAATATTTCCTGACCTTGAGGACACTTCACTGAAAATGATTTCTGAGTTTTGATTTGAGGCTTTATAAAATTTTGAGATTTAGAAATTCCAGAAGTTTTGGGGAGCAGAGCAATCAGGGTGGACTTCTTAAGAAAATTAATTCCCTACCGATCTGCAGGGTCATGGCTCTCTCCTCCCCTAGTCACTATTGCAAAGACCTGGGAAAGCAGCAGAATTTCTCCTAACGTGCCTGTGAATTGAGAACTGGTAAGCTCTTAATTTTCATGATTGACCAGCTCCAAATCCACTGAGCGAAATCTGGAGCACCTCTTGTCCCATACGACATATAGGTTTACACAAGAATTGCTCATAGCCACGTTTTCCAGAATCTTTTCAGTCTACAAGTTTTGAAAGGCTGTTATCATCGACCTTCTCTTATCAGTGGGAGACTGAAGTGAAGAGGTGGAGTGTTTTGTCCCACACACTGATGGTGCAGAAGAGAGCATGAAGACTCTGGAGATTTCATTTGAGTCCTTCATTATTCACAGGCCAGTTTAATATTCAGAAGGGGCATATCTCCTACTGCACTAACAACCTTCCCAGGACTGCCTTCAAACCACACCCTGGGGCTTTTACTTGGGACATGAAAAACTCTTAAAACTAGACAGCTACTTGGCAGGTTCCCCATTGCAATTCCACCTCCCTCATCTTCTCTTCCCACAGAGTCCACCCCACGCTCACATGTACAACTGATGAGCTCATGTAATCACACTCTTTTCTGTCATCTTGCCCACTTTCTTCAAAATTTTCTGCTAAACGCCCACATATCTGCTGGGCACCAACTTTTGTTGTACTGATGTCATCTTAATAAAAAAAAACAACAAAAAAAAAAAAAAAACCACAAAAAAAAAAAAAAAAAAACACAACCAACCAGCTTGGGCTGCTAAATGGCAGCGCTTTGTTCTGCGGTACATATGGCTTCTGTTGATTGTTTGTCATTTGTGACTTGAGGCAACTTCTGCTAAAATGAGCTATTTACAAAGCAGAGGCAGCAAACCACAGGTACTCGGCTGCTGCCTCTCAGAGCCCAGTGTATTAACACAGAAAACCACGTACACAAGACTGTGAACTGCATCAGTTGAGAAGTGGCTGTTCCCCCCACCCCTGCATCCAGGATGTTGAGTTTGGGCAGAGGAACAGGACACACACCAAATTATATAGTTACCTCTTAAATTACCTTGGGATGCATTGCCAGAGCTCCTGAATTTAACCCCAAAGCAGGGAAGTAAGATGTGCTGGACAATCTGTTTATCATGCCAGTCTTTCCTGCATCTCCTGCCCTGCTGTGCAAAGTTTGATCCATCCTGGTTTATAAGAAACTAAATGTTCAACCTAATAGTGCGTGGTTTTGTTTTTATTTTTTCCTTTTCTTCCTTCTAGAGGCACTAGGACATTGGAAAGGGAAACCTTATTCTCTCTAAGAGAGACTTAGCCATTCGTTGAGACATCTGCTCTTTTTTTACAATGGAAATATTAACCAAAACCTTTTAAGCCTCTAAGTATTAAATCTCCCTTTGTCTTTCAACTGAAGACTTCTTTTATT